TGATGTACAGATGTACATGGTCATAATTGGTAACGTAAATACATATAAATCTTATTTCAAAAATAAAAATATGAAACTCTTATTTTGGTATATTTTTAAAAGAAATCACCCTACATAGCACCCTAACTCACCCTAAATTACGCATCTAGCACTACTCATTGTTTTTAACAAATTTAGCACTTTTTTAGGGTCAATCCTTTCCTATCATGCCCTTTAACCTTTTTTCTTTTTCTCATCAAAAATTACGGCACTCCCTAGGCCGCACATACTCTTCTTGCGCTCGGCCGCACGTTCTCCTTCAGTCGCCCGCCATCATGCGTCCTCAGGCATTCTCCCACGATCTGGGCCGATCAGCAGCGGCAATCATCAGGTTATCTCCGCCTTCTTCATCGATGTGGCTAATCATTTTCTCTTCTCCTTCAATTTTTAATTTTCATTCCTTCATCCCTTTTCCATGTATTTTTAGTTTTAATTATTGTGTTTTATTCGTACTGAAGATTAGGTGGTGTGAAATCAATTTTGAAATACCTAGTATTTGTTCCTTTTGAAAAATTAGGTCTTTTGAAAGGCATTGTGATTTTGGCAGTGTTAAGATTAAGTGTTATGGTGTGGGCAGTGTGAAGATTAAATGCCTAAATGTTTTCCTGCATTTTTAGTTTTATTTATTTCCTTAATCCTAAATATCTGAATTTGGTTCTTATCCTTAAAAAAATTTTGCATGTCAAAAAATTAAAAAATAAACTTACCTAAAATAATCCCACCTTTCATTTATTTTCTAAAAATATGTATTTTCAAAAAATCCTATTTAGTGGCCGTTAGTTTTTTAACGGCGGCCCAAAACTTGCACACATGCAGAAAGGTGAGATTAATTTGTATTTGTTTAATATTCTGAAGTTTGCAATGTGACTAAAACGCCTATCATGTATATATATACGATGTGTTTTTGTATTCACCACCTCCATTAAATCCAGCATTTTCATCGCATATTAGGTTATACGTCTATTCTTTGAGTTCATTCCTTTATTTAATTTAATTGAATATTTTCTCTTTTATTATTTAAAAGGAGCATCACAGATGGGTCCAAATTTGACGATATTGCTACGTGTTGATGGGACATGGGATACTCATGGAAGCTTTATATTGTGGCAGTGTAGATATATTCTGGCAGTGTAGATATATTGTGGCAGTGTATATATTGTG